GGACTGGTGCTATTTACAATTTGAAAAGTTAGTGGAAAGCACGCTAGAGGTCACTGCATGCAACTACAAGTGTTGAAGTCCCGTGCTAACCCACCATGGTGATGATCATCATCAGTTTGGGTCCGATGTATCGACTGAGCACTAGGAAGTGAAGAATGAGGGCACATGCGCAGAGGAGGCAAGAGGAGAGGAAGAGACGCGCCAGGCCTGAGAGTGCATCGAAGCCCTTGATACGAGAGTCCAAGTAGTGCAAGTTTCCACTCACGTAGAAGAAGAGGGAGAGCAAAACCAACCGATTCCAGGTGTTACTGAAGTACTCTCTTACTGATTTGTGAGTCTCGATTGCCTGAAAGGTAGAGACCATGCAAATACAAACAGTGATGGGCTTCAAGGTGAGTGTCCGTTTCGTGTAATCCTCTCTCAACACCTATTCCGCTAAGCATGACTTGTGATTTTTCAATATCACTAGGAGGAGACCACTTGTAATCTGTCAAGGTAGTTGGCTTCATGCCTCTCGAAAGGATGGAGGCAAAACACGCACGTTGCAGGAGTGTTGGAAGACGGCGAGAACGAGACAGACATGGAGAATGATTTCTAACGGACGAACGATGGAGTCAGATCTCACAACCAGTAACACCATGGAGTAGAGGATCAGCAAGAGGACACTGCAAAACTAAAAGAGAAGGGTCGGGGACTTGAATGAACTCACTGCCATTCGGTTTCAGTGATTGACTCACGGCACTGTAGGCGAATCGAACGCATGGAGCTCTGTAGAAATCCACAATGCGTCGCCTGTATGTGGCCTTGCGATCGCTCTTCTCAGTTTCGTTTCCCTGATGCGGCCGGAGGGCAATCGTAGAATGGTTGGTTAGTAAACAACAACATGTACAAATCGCAACAACTTTCCGTTTGCAAACAGGAGGGAGAAGCTATCGCAGTCATACCTGGACATCATCCTGTCTTTTGAGGTGCCTATTGCAAGGGTAGTCATATTCCGCCAAGAGAGGCACCAGAGGAGGCAAAATTATTCCCGCCACA